TCTCCCCCCGCTTGTGTTCCCTCTCTCGCCGTATCTCTATCTTTAAAAAAAATAAATAAAAAATAAATAAAAAAATAATAAAATAAAATAAAATATTTATAGTTGAAAAAATACAGTGTGTGGGACTCTTTTTCCAAATGAATTGTGCTAACACACCTGGTTTCTGAGACACACTAATTTCTTGATTCTCCTCTCCTTTTTCAACCCTTTCTTGCTCTATCTGAAATTAGTTTATTTTTGGTTTTACTTGTTTCCTGTCTGTTCCCCACAAGAGCAGCAATCCTGTCTTTTGCACACCGCCACATCCCACAGGGTTAGCATACGACCTGGCATATACGAAGAGCTAAATACTTATTGAATGAATGAATGTCAGTATAGGTCTTATCATTGCTCTGGTCCTGAGTCCCAGGTCCACATTTCCAATCGTGAACTAGACAGTGACGTCTACACCCAAACCAGGTATCTCCTCCAGTTATCTTCAACAACGATGGTGATGATGATAGAAACTAACTGTTCTTTTAAAGATTTTATTTATTTATTCATGAGAGATAGAGAGGCAGAGGCAGAGGGAGAAGCAGGCTCCCCGCAGAGCGGGGAACCCGACATGGGACTCGATCCCAGGACCCTGGGATCATGACCTGAGCTGAAGGCAGACGCTTAACGACTGAGCCACCCAGGCGTCCCGAAACTAACTGTTCTATAGCACTGGGTGAGGCCAGCACATATGTTGATTCATTTAATAATAACAATTACCCTTGGTGATCCCACTTAACAGAGTGGGAAGTTGAGGCCCCGAAGGTCATTTGGCTTGCCCAAGCTCACACACCTGGTAAGTGACTGCACCAGGGTTAGAGCTCTGGAAGCTTACCCACCAGACTTGACTGCCTCTCCTTACTTAAGACTAGCCATTCTCCTAAGCACTTGGGCTCACCATTTGCGGTCACCTCAGACTTCTGTCTCCCTCCTCCTCCCCACCCTTTCCTGCCCTGGTCTTAAGGTCAGGCTTCAGGCCAGCTCTCCAGATCCTCAGTCATTGTCCCTCTCAGCCAACAATGCTAATTACATCTTTGCTGCCTTGAGGGCAAAACTGCCCCAATCTGGGCATTCATTATTTATTCCTTCGTTCAACATGGGCACCCACTGGGTTCAGCTCCATCCCTCCCAGCTGTGGGAACTTAAACGAGTTAATTAACCTCCTGCAGTGGGTTGAATGGTGCCACCCTGCCCCAAAAGATACTTCCTTGTCCCAATCACGGAACTGGAGACCTTCTTTGAAAAAAGAGTCTTTGCAGGTGTGACTAAGTTAAGGATCTTGAGATTAGATCATCATGGATTGTGCAGATGGGCTCTAAATCCAATGACAGGTGTTCTTTTTTTTTTTTTAAGATTTTATTTATTTATTTGAGAGAGAGAATGAGATAGAGAGAGAGAGCATGAGAAGGGGGGGGTCAGAGGGAGAAGCAGACTCCCCGCTGAGCAGGGAGCCCGATGCGGGACTCGATCCCGGGACTCCAGGATCATGACCTGAGCCGAAGTCAGTCACTTAACCAACTGAGCCACCCAGGCGCCCCCCAATGACAGGTGTTCTTATAAGAGACACAGAAGAGAAGACACACATGGAGAAGGCCACCTGAAGACAGAGGCAGAACCTGGAGTGATGTGGCCACAAACTAAGGATCCCCGAGTCTGGAAGAGACAAGGCAGGATCCTCCCAAGAGTTTTCAGAGCGAGCCCGGTCCTGCCAACACCTTGATTCCAGACTTCCGGCCTCTTGAACTGTCAGAGAATACATTTCTATTGTTTTAAGTCACCAAGTTTGTGGCAACTTGGTATATTAGCTACAGGAAGCAAATGCCCCTATTTCTCACTGGCCTTGATTTAGGATGGGGATAATCACATGTCCACCTCATTAGGTTGCCGTGCACAGATCTGACCTCTGGTTTTAGCACTTACCAGCTGCTCGGCCTTGGGCAAGCTATTTGAGCACTCCATGACTCAGTTTCCTCATTTGTAAAAGTGGGATAATAATACTCTTTAGGATGTGGTGACGCAGCTGTTCTCAAACCTCCCGGTCTCAGAGAGCCTTCTCCAAGGGCACTCTCAAAAACTATTGAAGACTCTAAAGAGATTTCGTTAAGTGTGTTCTATCTATGGATATCTACTGTAACTAGAAATTTAAACTGATGTTTTTTTAAAATATTGGTTAATTCAAAAGCAGACACATTACATTTTAACATGCTATTTTTAATACAAGTAACTATGCTCCCAAACAAACAAAACACTGAGAACAGTGGTGTTGTTTTGCATTTTCGCAAATCTCCTTAATGTCTAGCTCATTGGAAGAGAGCAGGATCCTCGCATTTGCTTCTGCACGTTCAATCTTACTGTGAGATGCTGTTCTGCGTTAAATATGCCAAGAACATCTTGCCTCCTACTGATATAAAGCTGGCGAAAGGGACCACCTCACGGAGACCCTCTGGGTATTGGAGACCCCCAGTGGTCATTAGACCACGCTCTGAGAACCGATAGAGTACAGATTAAATGAGGCAATATTTATTTGTAAAGCACTTAGAATTAAATATGAAATAGATGTCCAATACATTTTCAACTTAATTTTTTTTTTTTTTTATCAGTATGTGCCAGGTTGGTGGGGGCTTTAGGGCTATAAGAGCATTAAGGTTTTTTTTTTTATGCCTTCAAGGAGCTCCCAGTCTCATGGGGGAGGCGTCTGTGTAACCACACGGTTAAAACTCAGCGTGCGAGGGGCAGTTCCGTGGGAGAAGGCAGCGGGCTGTGGGAATGCAGAGGAGGGTCCCTAAACCCTGCGTGGCGCGTGGGAAGCGAGGGAGGACTTGGTGGGTTCTGGAAAGACTCTGCTGGGGGCGGGGTGTCGGATGGCCTAGGGCGTTTAGCCAGGTCAAAAGGACAGGGGGCTTGGACAAGAAAACTCGCGGTGCCGAGATCCAAACCCCGGCCTCACCTCCTCTGTGAAGCGGTGTTTATGTCACAAGGAACTGCTAAAGGACGTGGCTCTGCGGGCGGGGCAGCCCGGCGGCTTCGGGGGCAGGGGACCCCTCCACCCTTCCTTGTGCCCCTCTCGGGCCGCTGTACTGGAACGCAGGGCCCAGCGCCACCAGGTCCGCCTGTGACTGGGTCTGCGGGCTGGGGGGTGGGGGTGGGGGTACGGGGGGCTGGTCCTCGCTCTCTCCCCCGCATGGGCCCCATCGCCGAGCCCACCTCGCGACCCCTCCATTCCTCTCCAACGCAGAGGCTGCCGCTCGGCTCGGCGAAGCGTCCAGAGACCAGCGTGCCCCCCACCACCCACCGCCTCCGCCCCCTCTCCTCCGGGCTAGCCTCGACCCCTCCCCGGCGGGAGTGGGAGAGGAGGAGCCAGGACCGGGCCGGAGGAGGGGGCGGCGAGGAGGAAGGTCCGGCG